CTATAAATATGTTGACATTATATCCATGTTCAAAATGTTTTCTAATTTTCCAGAAGTGAAGTGAGGGTATTCCAAAGGGAGGACAGTAATAAAGGATAAGAAGCTTGAAAATGCAAAGAACAGATTAGAGAAAACCGAAAGGATATTGCTAAAAGCATGTCTGTAATGTGTATATGGGGGTTCATTATATTTTGTAGTGTACATTTAAAAACTTTCACAAAGAAAGTCCACTTGTGAGTGCACATAAAACATATATATACAGCTCCCTTGTATTAATTTCCAAGGGGCTCCCAAAGAAAAAATTATTGATTCAAATTATTTTGTATAAAGCCTCAGAAGGAATCAAACTGATTAAGATTATAGCCAATAAAAATAATAAGGTAGAAGGAAAGCTACTCTAAACTAGATCCTATCTACCAAGTCTGCAGTCGTGTAAAAACTCAAGTGAAGTCGTGGTCCCCAAGTCTGACCAGAAAGCAAAACCTTCAAAGGACTTGAGGGATGAAAAGGAAGAAGACTACGTTTAACTCCAAGTTGTTGAACAGGATAACAGTGAAATTCACTTCAAAGTGAAAAGCATGACACATCTCAAGAAACTCAAAGAACTGTATTATCAAACACAGGGAGTTCTAACGAACTCAACTTTCTCTTTCAAGGTCAGAGAACTGCTGATAAGTATATCCAAAAGAAGTGGAAATAGAGGAAGAAGAAGTGCTCAAGTTTATCTATATAAAATACAAGTAATTCCACAATTCAAATATTCTATTTTTCTTTAGTTCTTATTTTAATTATTATAGCTGAGGAAGTTACAATAATGTTAAAGGTTATAGCATCGATACACAAAAACAGCTTCACCGACCACCTCCAAAATGACCCATGATACTCTTCCTCTGTCCCTACTTCTCTTCTAGTCTAGTAGTTTGGTTTTCTCCCCTTTTTCCTGCCCCTGTTCTCCTGAGCATTTGGTAATTTGATATTCCAATGCTAAGGTTTTGTCATTGTTCAATACTGTCTATTCTCTTACATTGACTTTCTATAATCCACATATGATTAAGATCACCTACTATTGTTCTTCTCCTTCTGACTTATTTTGCCTAAGCTGATATCCTCTAATTCCATCCATGCTGCAACTGCAGCTCTTTTAATACAATGCTAAAAATATAAATAAAAACTGATATGCAATTTCCTTAAAATATCTGTTAATATGAGTCAAGTGTCCATTACTCAATAACAATTTGCTTCGTTGTGTTCCATTTTTGGTAATCAAGCTTCAAGACCCTTTGTCTTGCCCTTTTTTAAAAGAAAAAAAAACTATACTCAATGTTCACACAAAAAGGCACCTTTTCCAGAACTCTGCATTTTCAGGCTTGTGATAAATAAAAATGACCAATGCAAATGTTCCCAGTAGTTTTACAATTGGCCCTGAAGAGCTAGCCAGTGATTACTCCATTCTTGAACTATGACTTTTCGTGGGAGATCAAGTTTTTCAGAAAACTGAACAAAATAAAATTGACCTTTTTCTTAACTTGAAACTATGTTTAAAACCTCAGTGTCTGTGTCAAAATAAGAGAAATTTCAGCTTGGAGATGAAATCACATGATCGGAATAATAACTTATTCCAAAAATGGCTTTATTGAAGAGAAAACACCTAAGATTAAAGAAAAAAAATGCCAAAGGACTTCAGAGAAGTTATAATTTTTATCAACAGCTAATAGCTATTGATGCAATGTATAATAATATACCACTTACTTTTTAAAATTTTATTTGTATTTTTGGCCTTGAATATGGATTTAAAATTAATGATAACCATGTCAGTTTTATTAAAATGAAAAAACAAAGTAAAGATCCTTAGAAATAAAATATTGAGACTACTAATAATATATACCGTGCTCATTAAGTCACTGTCACTGTCCTCCTGTTGTTCATCGATTTGCTCCAGCGGGCCCAGTAACATTGTGAGACTTGTTACTGTGTTTGGCATATCGAATACATCACGGGTAGCTTGCCAGCTTTGCCTTGTAGTGAGATACTCTCAGTAGCTTTCCAGGCTCTCCGAGAGGAGTGGAGGAATCAAATTCTGATCGGCCGTGTGGGCCGCATGCAAGGCAAATGCTCTACCCACTGTGCTACGGCTCCAGCCCATATTCTTGTTTCTCTTCAGATCATATATATCTTTTGCTCATTAAGTAGGGAAAAAAAAACTTACCAGGCAATAAAACAGGTAGTCTTCTCATAGATATTTTAGGCCACAAGTTATTAGGAGAGACAAATATAAACATTATGAAGCAATGTTCACATATGTCTTATTCATAAACAAGGTGCTGTGAAAGCACAAGAGAAAACAATAGAAAGGGCAAAGAATGCTTCAAACAAGGAGGGAAGCAGAAGAGTAAGATCCATAGAATAAAGAGGTGTTACCTAAACAAAAAGCAAAAATTTAGAGACAAGGGAGATAGCTCAAAGATTCAAAAGAGATAAAATATAAATCATGACCAGGAAAGACCAAGAAACACTAAGCAAAAAGCAAGGCCCTAAGTATAGCTGGGTATGTCTCCATCCCCAAAATACTAACAAGAAAGGAAAACCTCAATAGTACATTAATGTTCCAGACTTAAGAAAAAGAAACTTGTCTAAACACCTATATTGGCTTTTTGTTTATCTGTGTCTTGTTTTATTTAGTTTCGTTCATTTAGTTTTGTTTGTTTGGAGCTACTTAGAGGCCGGGACTTAACTCCAGGCAAGGCTCTGGGCACCTTATGGGATCAGTCACGGTCACGGTCCTCCCATTGCTCACTGATTTGCTCGAGCGGGCCCAGTAACGTCTCCATCATGAGACTTGTTTGGCATATCGAATACTGTGTTTGGCATATCGAATACGTCACGTGTAGCTTGCCAGGCTCTGCCCTGCGGGCGAGATAGTCTCGGTAGCTTGCCAGGCTCTCCGAGAGGGGCGGAGGAATCGAACTCAGGTCGGCCATGTTGGCCACTTGTAAGGCAAACCCCTACTGCTGTGCTATCGCTACAGCTTATAGGATATCAGGGATAAAAGCCAGGTCATCAGCATGCAAGACACGTATACCCTTCCCACTGTATTATTGTTCAAGACCCAGAAGACCCACACTTTTATAGAGTGGAAGGTGAGAAGTAAAAAAAGAGGAAGACTTTGACAAAAAGGAAGTTGCAGGCTACCTAAATGAATATGAATCCCTATGCAAAGCAGCAGAGGGAAATCAGCATAGATTTTAAACAACAAAATAACTCAACTACAGCTGTTTGTTTTTTGGGGTTTTTTAAATTTCTAAAGCACACTAGGAAGACAAATTACTGTGAGGATAAATTAAAGATTGAGATTGAAAGGAAAGGGTCAGCTAGGATTAAAGTAAAACTAAACAATAGATGAAGATCTAAGGCAGTCTCAGTAAGAATATAGAAAAGTATAAAAGATCAAGTTACTTGGGAGGCAAAAATCTATAATGATGATTAGTTACATATAAAGAAAGAAAAGTCAACAATGACATCTAGGTTTATGATTCATTAAACTATGTGAGAGTATGATGGTGCCATACTTAGATAAATCTGAATGGAAATTAACTTTATACAAAAAATATTTACATTTGAGGCATAAGATTAAAGATGCCTATGAGTTCTCAATGTGTGTACTAAGTACTAAAAAGCTAAGAATAGAGATTTCATTTACATATGTGATACATATTAGAAAGTTGTTCATATACAACAGAAGGCACAGAATTGAATCAGATCAATCTTGAGGAAATAAGACACACACACATACACACACACACACACACACACACACACACAGAATTTCACAAGGAGACAACAAGGAAAGATAAGAGAACCTAGAAGAGAACCAGCAAGTGAAACAGTCATAGAAAAGTAACTATACCAAATATTGTGAGGTGTGAGGTAATATGTTCCGTGGAATTAGTGAATTATATACATATTAATAACATTTAGGAGAGAAATTTGTTAGTCAAAATACTAAATCACATTCATACATATGTATATACATATAAAATTACATTTTAATGACAGAAATAGCTGCACTTTATATTTTACAATATACAAAGTAACCCAAATTTTCTAAAATATCATGGTAGCACCATCCTCCTGTTGTTATCAATTTGCTCAAGAGTATACCAGTAATGCCTCCATTGTGAGACTTGTTGTTACTGTTTTTGGCATACTGAATACCCCACAGGTAGCTTGCCAGGCTCTGCCGTGTGAACGGGATACTCTCAGAAGCTTGCCAGGTTGTCCGAGAGGGACAGAGAAATGGAACCCGGGTCAGGCGCGTGCAAGGCAAACGCCCTACCCTCTGTGCTATCTAAAAATTACAGTGAAGATCCACAAATTAAAATTTCACTATTAATCAAATCATTTTTACTATTGCATATATAGACATAGTTATGTATACATATTTATTTATGTGTTTAATGCATAAACTACCAAAAAATGAGAAATCAAATATTTCTGAACAATTTAAGCAAGTTATCCATCTGGAGTATGAATATAAACTAGCTTTAAAATTAAATAAATATGTGCACACTTCCCTCATGGGTTCATTAGATATAATCAGAAAGCCGAAAGGACTCTTTAGACACAGTTTATTCCTAATTATTACAGTCAATAAAATACCACTAATGTGACTAAAATATAATAAATCATCTAAATATATATATATACATATATATATATATATCAAACATGCACTTCTGTGTATACCAAACCCCTTTCCTTGGCTGGGATAAATAAAATTTCAAAAGGTATTGTAACTTGGGTGGCCTGCATCAAATATTCCATTCACAGATAATTCAGATATTGATAGACCATAGGTAAAGAGATCAAGTCAGCCTTCAAAAGTCACTAAATCATTCTAGACTTTTTTACAAATTGCAGTTCTGCTAAAAATTTCAAGTAGTGGTATTTATAGAAAGGAAGTATCATTTATAAAAGGGAAAGATGCAATAAAAGTGACTCACAATTATGCATGTTGGAACTTCACGAAGAGAATATTCTGTTTTGTTGGGAAGATCTTGATTGTATACCAACTCATAAACAGCAGAATAAGATAACAAGTTCACCAGCGCCAAAAACGACTGAAGATTAAAAGGGGAAGAGAGAGCACAGTTATTAAAGTGATCAATTTTTATTCAATAATATTTATGGATGACTCATTAAAACAAATTATTATTATTATATGCTATAAGATGTATAGTAAAGTAAGTAAGTAAAAGTAAAGGCCCTCCCGTTGATCATCGATTTGCTCGAGCGGACCCAGTAACGTCTCCATTGGAGACTTTGTTGTTACTGTGTCTGGCATATCGAATACTCTCGGTAGCTTGCCGGGCTCTCCGAGAGGGGCGGAGGAATCGAACTCGGGTCAGCCATGTTGGCTGCGTGCAAGGCAGACGCCCTACCCGCTGTACTATCGCTTGTATTTTTAATGTTATGAATACAATATTATTATCGTCTACAAGTGTTTCTTTTTAATTTTGTTTGGTTTGGTTTTAGGACCACAGCAGTGCTCATGGGCTTCTTCTATCTCCATGCCTTGCTGGTACTTAGGAGCTATGCAATGTCACATTACATAAAACACACATTCAGACCTTTGAACCACCTCTCCAGACCCAGGGTTCATTTTTTTTAATAAGCCTAATGAACCCAAAATTATGTGAAATGTATACACACATCAAGAATAATCTATGTGTTGACATTGCTTAATAAAACAACTAACAACTTTAGAGTTTGAAATGCTGTAGTAATGCATTTTAAAAAGTCTGGTTCTGAAAAAAGATGAAATGATCCATGTTTCTCATTCTCTTCACTGTCATATGTGATGCACAAGAAAATGTGAGATGATAATACTTGGCAGCTCAGAAGAAAATAAGTTCTAGATTTTCTTGCACTCGGGTTGCAGGCTCTTTATTAACTACTTTCCCTAAAAAATCCAACCTAGGCATTATAACTAATGTTTAAAAGTTAAGAATTCTTCTAACGAAAATAGCTCATTTGGGGGGGGGGCAATCTACTTAGTCCATCTTTCCATGAAATTCTTATGCTTCCACTTTCATTTTACCATACTAAGATCAACCTGAATGTTTTTCTCAAGCACATTTCACTCTCCGGCTCCTCTGCTCAAAGAGATGCAGTGGCTGCCCATCACTACACATTATATCGAAACTTCTCAGTATGACTTTTAAAGTACTTTCCTAATACACACCTTTCTTCTCTTCATAGTCACAAAAGCCTCATTTCCTATTATTTCCCACTTCATAAAGCTGCCACTTCCGTCGATCAAACCTGCCCGTGATCTGCGTTTCAGTGAGTGACACACATATAATCTTTCAGAAATCTTACAAACATGATACTCTGGCACTCTCTTGCACATTAATAAGCTTCCACAAGGCTGCCTTTTTTTTTTCCTAGAAGTTCTCCAAATAACTCTACACAACTCTTGACACCTTATTGTCTATCCAGCTATATTTTGGCTTATATTAACAGTGCTTATTTTGTTTATTTGTTTGTTTGTTTGCTTGTTTGGGGGTACCCGGCAGTGCTCAGGGTTTACTCCTGGCTCTGAGCTCTGGGATCTCTCCTAACCGAGCTCAGGAGAACCATAATTGGTTTTAGAGATCCAGCCTGGGTAGGTCACACACAAGGCAAGAGCCTTACTCACTATACGCTCTCTCTCTTTCTCTCTCTTTCTCTCTCTCTTTCTCTCTCTCTCTCTCTCTCTCTCTCTCGTGCTTATTTCTAACTACTGAATTTTCTTCTTTTGCAGAAAAACTGTTCTCATTAGACTCAAGATCTGAAAATCAGAAAAACTAAGAATTTTCATTATAACTGGCACATTAAGAAAATTCAAAGGAATCATACAATTTCTCACAGATTGGTTAAAGACTGGATACTTGGCCAAACACATACAAAAAAGATGGTAGCTGGACTAATCTGTATTTTTTTCCAACTCTAGGCTAAAGTTACTCATTACATGTTGAAAATTATCATAATACACTACTTAAAGCAATACTCAACAGTCCTTTCTTTAATTCCTGGAGGGCCAAGCCCATGTCCTAGCCCTTCCATCCTTTACAATGTCAAATGCAATGCTATCACCAAACAACAGTCATTCTAATGTATCTATTATACAGTAGTTTATAACACATGTTGCTATAAAATTTTTTTTAAAAAATGTTTTTCTATCTTGTCTTTGCCCTGTAAATATCTGAAAGGAAATGTTTCTAACAAAAACTGAAAGAAAAAAAAAATCCAACACAGATTCATAGGCAAGGGATGTGCCTCGACAATTGGTAGAACTTCTGTTTTACATATGATGAAGCCCTGGGTTCAATACCCAGGAATGTAAAAAATAAAGGACACAAAGCTGGTAGCTTCTGGATAAATTTTATCAAAGTAGAATTTTTTAAATCAAGTGGCCATTTATCAAGTACCTATCTAAAGGGAATTCTATACTAAGAATGTGCAATACAGAAAAGGGAAAAAAAACTTGATTGATAAAAGGCTGTTTAGAAAAAATATATAGCATACATGTCTATAATATAGTATAATAAGTTACATTAAAACTAGAGAACTCATGGTTACCAAGAAATCCCTATAAACATCAATTACCAATGATTAGGGCATTATCAGAAACATGATTAATGGAGATAATTTCATGTGTGGATTATTTTTAATCTAATTATCATGAAAACAAGTACGTTAAAAATGAAAACTATTTTTGTAATTTAAATATGCAAATCTTTTACAAGTGTACTTAATATTAACCTAATATTCATAAATTATTATATAGTTTTACAAGAGACTACAAAAATAGCTTTAAATAAATATAAGTTTTTATATTTTACATTGTATATAGAATGATTGTTATAAATTACATATAATACTATTACATTACGCTCTTTTATATAATTTATACATGAATAATGTTGTTGGTGTTTATGAAACCTATCTCCATGTAAAAAAATAAAACAATATGGACCACAGAGAATCATGATTACTTAGAATATGCTCCTCTAAGAAAACTGGGGAGGGGGTCCTTGGACCTGGCATTGCTCAGGAATAACCCCTATAGGACTAGGAAACCACACACAGTGCTGAGGACTGAACAAGGGTCAGTCGCATGCAAAGCAAGTGCCTTGCCTCCTTACTATCTGTGTGGCCAATAAATAAATATTTCTTAGAACTCTCGTAAAAACAATTTAACAACTGCATTTGAACTGATACAACCTAAGTAAAGTTTTAAAGAAAACTGCTGAGACTTTATTTATTTTGTTTCTAGGAAAAACAAATCCATTCCTCAAATACAGAAAACTTTTTTTTCTGAAAGGTTGTATTTATTTTTAAATTTTATTTTGGTTATTCAAGGCTTTTTACCCTTTCATAGCAATTTAATTAAATTATTTTGGGCCATACCTGGCAGTGCTTAGGATTACGCTGGCTTTGTGGCTCAGGGGAATCACTCCTGATAGTGCTCAGGCAATGCTATGTGGTGCCAGGGATTCAAATCTGGACCAGCCACATGCAAGGCAAATGCCTTCACCCCTGTAACTATCTTTCTGGCCCTCGTAGCAATTTTATTTATTTACTTTTCCTGCTTTATTTATTTATTTAATTTTTATTAGTGAGACACCTTTTAAAAGAAAAGGCTTCCTGGTGCTTACCATAGGCTGGGTTCCTTACACTGACTATAAAGAAAGAGGTCATGGTTTAACCCAACCCACTTGTACCTCAGCCCAAGTCCTTTGCCTGGTCTCCATTGTGAATAGAAGGTCATTGGAAAAAAATAATAGAAAATTTTTAAAATAGCATTCTTGGGGCTGGAGAGAGATAGTACAGCTGGTAGAGTGCTTGCCTTGCACATGACCCAGCATCCCATATGGTGCCCCAAGCACTGCCAGGAATAATCCCTGAATATGGAGCCAGATGTAAACTGTAAGTACTGCCAGGTATGACCCCCAAATAAAAGTAAACAGCATTCTGCAAAATTGTGATGAGCAAAGCACTTTTAGAAGTTCAGAAGAAACTTAGATTGTAATCACTGGTTCCCACAAAAATAATGTTAGTAACATTTAATCATCTGAAAATTTATATTAACATAAAACATAAAACTTTCTTCATCTATGTTTTCGAAGAAAAAAATGAGTTCTTATAATGGCAAAGAAACTAATTAAAGATCAGAAGATTGATATATTTTAAGACTGATGCAGAATATCACTTGCTAAAGTCAAAAACTTTTTCTGAGAATTAAAAATTCTTCAAGCAACTGATAATCCATTCAGTTAATTATTCATTCAAAATACTTTAGCACAGACACTTATGAGCAATTGTAGATACAAAGAAGAAAAGTTAAAAAAGAAGAGGTCCCTGAACTCAAACGCACAGTGTACTAAAGGGAAACTACATTTAAACATCATTTAAAACAGGACTGAAAATAATCTGATGGTATACAGTGAAGAGAGGTGGGATGATATTGAGAGGATAGTATTGTTGTACTAAGAAGGGAGAAGTGAGTGATAATACTCCCCAAAGAGCACTAAATATCCACAAAGAGATAAGCTAGTTAACAAATAACATTTTTATCTAGAATAAGGGGAGAAAACTGTTTTTGAAAATGTAATGAGAGTACAATGTTATGCTTTAGTTAGAATGCTATAAAATAAGGTTTGGGGGGATTCTGAAAAGATAACACAGGTCCCATGCACTGACCCGGTTAAATTACTGCACCACGTGGTTCACTGAGCAGCAACAGGTGGATCCCTGAAGACCCCTGAGCACCACTGAGGTGGTCCAGGTAATCCACAAAACTACATAGTCGAGCAGTACTGACTGCTTCTTCAGTCTGCACTTTGACTCACTAGTTCAGTTAGCAGAGAGTCACTAAGGGCCCTTCCCTGAACACACACACACACACACACACACACACACACACACACACACACACAGGTTTTCAGGACACACAACACTGAGGAAATTGAAATAAGCTATTATACCTAATAGAGTATTAACTAAAAATGGTAAGAGTGAACTACTTTAATTTCAATACTTACTAGATAAATGTAGGATATATATTTCAATGTTCGAAACTGAGATAAAACAGATTGAGATTTTCAGATTGAGATTTGTCAGATTTAGAATTAAACTTACAAAAATTTTATCATATATAAAGTCTGTTAATAACTGAAATCATTGGGATTTTCATTCTTCTGTTAACATGGAGTTATAGTTTCATTTTAGAATGTTTAAAGCAATTTTGTATTGGTAAGATAACCCTCCTTATTGGTGAGTAAAACAGATGATTCTTCTATATAATGTTAGAAATAATACAATAATGTTTTCTTAAAATTTCAATTCAGGGGCTGAAGCAGTAACACAGTAGCTAGGGCAATTGCCTTGCACGCAGCTGAGCCGGGTTCGATTCCCAGCATTCCATATGGTCCCTCGAGCACCACCAAGAGTAATTCCTGAGCACAAAGCCAAGAGTAATCCCTGAACATCACTGGGTGTGACACCCTCCAAAAATTTTTTAAATAATGATAGTAATTAGTTAAAAAAAAAGGTTCAGGGCTGGAGAGATAGCACAGTGGGTAGGGCGCTTGCCTTGCACATGGCCGACACAGGTTAGATTCCCAGCATCCCATGTGGTCCCCTGAGCACCGCCAGGAGTAACTCCTGAGTGCAAAGCCAGGAGTAACCCCTGTGCATCACCACGTGTGACCCAAAAAGCAAAAAAATTTTTTAAAAGTTTAACATAATTGAGCCCTCACACCCAAACTCCACCATAGCAAGGGGCCAAGCTCCATGACTTCTGAACCCTGCATGCCACCATCCCATCCAGGTAGATCCACTGCTGGGCTGACAACTGTGTGAACTCTCTGGAACAGGGCAGAGTCTGACTGTCCTCCTGTACAGTCAGCCAGGCAGTCTCCATCCCTGAACTCCACTCGAGCAAGTGGCCCAGCTCCACAACTCCTGAACCCTGCACACCACCATATCATTCCAGTAGAGCACAGCAAACCCAATGGGGAGGAAATAAAGAAGTCCGGCAAACTCAGTGAGTGAAAACAACAAAGAAAGTTCAAGCAGCACCAAGAAACTCAATAAATCCTAAGACACTGACTTTAATGACAACATTTGAGGATGTTTAATGAGATCAAAGGAACAAAAGCACAGTTAGTCAGCAAAGCCAGCAGTGCAGAGAAAAAAAACTAGTGCTGAAATGAGGAAAGTATAGGCAAAAATGAGATTTGTTAAGTAATATTAAAAAACTCAACAGAAGCTCTGAATAGCAGATTAATGGCAGTTGAGTCAAAGATTAAGGAGTTTCAAGATGAGTTGGAGAAAACCACTAGAAACAACAGAAGGTGGTAAATAGTCTGAAAAGAAATAAATACACCAAAAAAAAGGTATGAGCCCAAGGGGAAGAATAACAGGGATTCCTGAAAAACATGAAGGTAAATTTGATGCAGAAATAATACCTAAATCATAAAAATCATAAAGAAGAATTTCCTAGACTTGAGGATTACAGGCAGAGATATCTAAAAGGCCCAAAGGGCACCAGTGAAAAGAAACTCAACTAGAAAAACTCCAAGACACACTATACACAAAACTAAAAAAAAAAAAAATTCAAAGATAAAGACAGAATACTGGAAGCAGCAAGATCAATAAAGCAACTTACAAACAAAAGAGATTCCATAAATTTCACAGCAAATCTATCAAATGCAACTATGAGCTGGAAGGCAAGAAAGGAATGGAGTACAGAAACTGAACAAAATGAACAATTTACCATGTATACTCTATTCAGCTACTTATCATTCAGATTTGAAGAAACAATACAGAGCTTCAGGAACAAGAAATCATTCAGGAAATGTACAGAAACTGAACAAAATGAACAATTTGCCATGTATACTCTGTTCAGCTACATATCATTTAGATTTGAAGAAACAATACAGAGCTTCAGGAACAAGAAACTACTTATGAAGTGTATAGCCTTGAAACCAGTTTTACAACAAGCATTAAAGGAGCTTCTTTAAAGGTCAGGTCACACATCCCCTGGTCATGGATAGGGAGGATTAGCACTATCAAAATGGTCATACTCCCCAAAGCATTATACAGATTTAATGCAGTTCTTATAAATACAAGACATTTTTTAAAGAAACAGATAAAACACTCCTGAAATTTATATGGAACAATTAAGTGCCCACAAAGAGCTAAAGCAATCCTTGGGGAAAAGAAGATGGGTGTCATCACCTTCCCCAACTTCAAACTGTACTATAAAGCAGTAGTGATTAAAACAGCATGGCATTAGACTATAAACAGACCTGCAGACCAATGGAACAGAGTTGAAAACTGTCACAGACTCTCAAATACATGATAACTTAATCTTCGATAAGGGAGCAAGAAATATGAAGTGGAGCAAGGAAATCATCTTCAACAAGTGGTGCTGGGAAAGCTGGAGAGAGTCCTGCTAAAAACTGAACTCAGACCTCTTTCTATCACCAAGCATAAAAGTCAGATCAAAGTGGGTTAAAGACCTCAGTATCAGACCTGACTCCATAAGATACATGGAGGAAAATGTAGGCAGAATCCTCCATGACATTAAAGCTAAAGGATGAAACAACACTGACCAAGCAAGTGGAAACAAATGGTATTACATTAAATTTAGAAACTTCTGCACCTCAAAAGAAACGATGACCAAAATACAGAGAGAGCCCTCAAAATGTGAAAGATCATTTATCCAACACCCATCAGATAAGGGGTTAATATTCAGGATATACAAGTCATCAGTGGAATTGTACAAGAAAAAACTCCAACCCCATCAAAAATTGGGGTGAAGAAATGAACCAAAACTTTCTCAAAAAAGAAATACAATGCCAAAAGTTACAAGAAAAAATTTCCTACATAATCATCAGGGAGATGCAAATCAAAACAACAATAAGATATCATCTCATACCACAAAGACTGCCACACATCAAAAAGAACAAGAACAACTGGGAGAAAGGGACTGTCTTTCACTGTTGGTGGGAATGCTGAAGGTCCAGAATTTTTTGAAAACAATATGGACATTCTTTCAAAAACTAGAAATTGAGGGGGCTGGAATGATAACACAGAGGGTAAGTCACTTCCTTTGCATGCAGCTGAGCCGGGTTCCCAGCATCCCATATGGTCCCCGGACCACTGCCAGGGGTAATTCCTGAGTGAAGAGCTGGAGTAACCTCTGAGCATCATTGGGTGTAATTAAAAGAGAAAAAAAGAAAATAGTATGTGATTCTCTTTGTGGGAACATTTTGGACAATAAATCCTATAGCACAGCAGTAGGGCGCTTGCCTGGCACGCAGCCAACATGGCCGACCCGAGTTCGATTCCTCCGCCCCTCTTGGAGAGCCCAGCAAGCTACTGAGAGTATCTCGCCCACACGGCAGAGCCTGGCAAGCTCCCTGTGACGTATTCGATATGCCAAACACAGTAACAACAAAGTCTCCAATGGAGACGTTACTGGGCCCGCTCGAGCAAATCGATGATCAACGGGAGGGCCTTTACTTTACTTTTTACTTAAATCCTATTTCTCTAATAGATATACAACTACTCAGAGTTTCTAGTTTATATGGGACTCTGGTAGTTGTTCTTAAATAATTTTTTCTAATTTTAAATTTTGAGTTCATGGCATAAAGCTGAAAATTCCCTTGTGGTTATTTAAAATCCGTGTGGCTTTTCTATTGTTCCTTTTTTCTTGAACTTCAATTCCTAATATGCCTAAATGCAGCATGCGTGATCTTGACAGTTCTGCAGTCTCCTATTCCCTATTTTCCAACTACACTTCAGTCATGTGTGTGTGCACGTATCTTAATCAAAGGGTAACAAATATCATTAAACACATCAAAAACAAATAAATAAATAAATAAATAAATAAAAAATCTCCAGGTGAGCATTGCAGCCAAAGATACAAGCACTACAATCAGATGTGTAACAACATCCTGAGAGCATCACCACAAATAAATATGTGTGCACTCCCCGTATTCTTAACAAAAATATGAAAACGGGCTGGAGCGATAGCATAGTGGGTAGAGCATTTGCCTTGCATGCGACCAACCCGGTTTCAATTCCCAGCATCCCACATGGACCCCTGAGTACTGCCAGGAGTGATTCCTGAGTGCAAAGCCAGGAGCAATCCCTGAGCATTGCCGGGTATGACCCAAAAAAAGAAAAAAAAAAAGAAGAAGAAAATGTATATTATACAACCACTGAACATACAATGCAATAAAGTTTGTGATTCCAACTGGAATTTGGAAGATCTGGGTGGTGGAGAACAGTGCAGTCTCCTGCCCCCGCACCTGGCTGTCCTCGCCGGGGCCCCTTGGAGGGGAGCAGGTTGAGCTTTCCTCCCCGCTGCAACCAGGGCTCCGGCAGCCGAAGACCTCCAGGACCAGCCACCACCATGCTGAGACCACTCTCCGCATACATGAAGGTACTGGCAGAGGGACAAATCCACGCGGGTTCCGGGGCCGAGATCTCCAAGCCTACTCGGATTGGGGCCGAGCATCCTCCACCCAGATCCTCCAAATTCCAGTAGGCGGGGGTCACACCCACCAACTGGTCCCCTGGCGCCGTGTAATCCCATCAACGGCCAAGACTCAGTAACTATAAAAACCAGTTCCTGGAACCATGCAGCCGCATTTGCAGCTGTGCGACATCTTATTATGACATCTTATTATCTCATTCCTACTTTGGACAAACAGGCAGGCTACCGAATGTAGCCTGCCCACACGGCAGAGTCTGGCAAACTCCCCGTGGCGTACCCAATATGCCAAATACCAGTAACAATGATGGGTCTCATTCTCCTAAAGAGCCTTGAATACAATCTCAGGGCTAGGATGAAGGAGATGTTACTGGGGCCTGCTCGAGGCAATCGACGAATAACAGGATGATTTGTGATTTTTGTGATTTTGTGATTATTTAATGTTCCTGAGCTTATGATTATTTTACTGGAGGATACTATCCCACCATTGCAGAAATTATAACTTCTGACTAATTTTACATTATGCTTTATGGTACCCTTTGAATGGAAATTTACCAGACTATCATAAAAGTCAAAATTGGGAATCAATATTTTATTATGGTGGATTTTTGAGAAAATGTTAGATATACTAAAGGCAATTAGTTACATTATCTGGGTGTTTTAGATAGTTCGTTACATTACTCCATTTGATAAATGACAACATCTGCTCTGTCCTCTCCTTCAAAAAAATATGGCTAACTTTCTATTATATTCTAGTCTAAGAGTAAAAACTGTTTTTCGGTTCTAACAAGACTTTAAAGATAACCTACTACCTGTGCCCCTCAAATACTCTTTCCCAAATATCAAGAAACATGAATACTTCCTAACATCTACTATAAAGTCAACATCATCTTAAAACCATTACAGAGATATAACTAAGGAGAGAAAATCTCAGATCAATATTCCTCATGAACAGAGACACAAATATTCTCAACCAAATTTTAACAAACTGAAATCAACAATATATCAAAAGGATGATACACCAATGTGGAATTCATTCCAAGGATGCAAAGATGGCTGAATAATGCTATGTACAAATCAATAAAAGATTAATATTATTACATCAATAGAACCATACGAAAAAAACTTCCAATAAAAGATGGGTAGGAAGAATATACCTCAAGATAAAAAAGGTCATATATAACAAACTCATCAGTCTCAAGGGCAAAAAAACTAAAAGTCTTACCTAAAAGATCAGGCAAAAAATCAAGGATATCCACTTTGATAACTATTACTCTAACAGTAAGTCCTCAACATAGCAATAACACAAGAAAAAAAAAAAAAGCAGCCAAATTGGAAAAAAGTTTAACATCACTATTTGCAGCTGGCAGGAAATATAAATAGAAGAATTCAAGTTCTCCCCTAAAACACTTAAAAAATAATTAATACACTAAAATAACAGATTATAAAATCAACTAAAAATAATCATTTTTTTCTGTATGCAAACAACTAGAATTTTCTTTATAATAATAACAAAAAGTCAATAATAAAATAAAACAATTCCATCAAAAAAAAATATGGGGAAGAGGGGATGAACAGGCACTTGCTCAAAGGAGACATAGAGATAGTCAACTGGCAAATGAAAGTGTTCACTCTTACTGTCAGGAAAACGCAAATGAGTAAGTCATCATTCCACACCAATGAGAATGTCCAACATAAAAAAGAAAGTGGATGGGCCAGAGTGATATAGTACAGAAGATTGGGTGCATGCCTTGCATGCAGCCTACCCAGGTTCAATGCTAGAAACCCATATGGTCCCCCAACTTCACCACACAGAGTCAGAAGTAAGCCCTGAAGATCACTAGGTGTATCCCCACAAAACAAAGAGAGAGAAAGGGAGAGAGAGAGAGACAGAGACAGAGAGACAGAGACTGAGGAAGAGAGAGATACTATAAACACCATTGTTGGTTGGCATGTGGTGAAAAAGGAGTCCTCATTCACTGTTTTGGGAACTTTAAACTGGTTCCATCTCTCCATTTCTATAGAAATCAGTATGGAAACTTCTCCAAGAATTAAAAATTGAACTTACCATGAGAACCAGTGATTCATTCCTTGACATCTATTCATCTATCCCAGTAGCACACACGTGTTCACTGCAATGCTATGTATAGTCAAGACAGGGAAATAACCCAAGTTCCCAAAAGCAGGTAAGTGAAGATAGAAGCTGTAGTTCATAAACAAAATGAAATACTACTGAGTTATAAGAGACGAAATCTTGCCTTTTGTTGCAATAGGAATGGATCTAGAAGGTTGAGTGAAAAAGGTCAGAGGGAGGAAAAATACTGGCTGATCTCACGACAAGTAGAATATAAAGAAACAGGTTGAGGTTACCAAACAGTAACAGAAGTAGGCTTGGAAGGGGGAAGGAAGTTCAAAGAAGTGACTTGAGGACAGTGGTAGAGTGTATCTGGCACTTTATGGACATGGAAGTAGATGTTTGTGGAGGAGCAGTAATTTTGTATGCCAAATACATACACATTATCACTATTGTAACCAAGTTACCTCAATCACAATAAAAAACAACGATGTTCTTATCACACAAAGATGTTTGACTGTTTTGTTATTAGTTGCTGGTTTTGTTTTAAAATGTGTATAATAATTTTGTAGCATAATTTTTGTAATTTTTTTGCAATATGCATCTGTGTCAAAATTCTTTACATTAGAAAAACTAGTAAAACATCATAAGGAACACTTCATTATTAAATATAATTTAAAAATCAATTTTGTTGTTCACCAAATTCATTCGAAAATGGTAAATAAAATGAAAAAGAAATAAAAACTTGGTAAGGTTTATATGTTACTGAATATACTAATAACAGTGATTAGAGCTTAGAGAAAGTGATTTCTGAAAATAAAGAATCCATATATTACAGTAATTATTTCTTACCTTTAAACAACTTCGGTCAATAGGATCCACTGGAGTAGATTTGGGATGGGTTACTCTAACATCATCTCTTCCACATTCCAGATTAGCCCATAATTCAGATGTAAGTGCATTAATAAACCCTAAGAAAAGTTATGTTGTATAAATATTCATAAAAGAATATTTATTCAGATTAAAGAGAACAATAAAATTTATTCCTCACAAGATTGGTCCACAATAACAAAAACATATTTTCATCTTAAGTTTGAAATAACATTTGATCTTGACAGGTACTTTATCTTCTATTATTAAAACACCATTATCATTACCATTACAAAACATCACTGACAAACTCTAAAAGTCTATTTTCCTGAAAGATGGCTGTCTTGAATTCCATCATTTATACTTTGCCAGCAACTTATCTTGTTAAAGTTTTATTTTGAAAAATAATGAGGTTTTTTGTGAAATGCAGTAACTTCTTCATGAAAAGTTTTTCCCCCCCGAAAATTAAAGTTTACAGGCTTATTTTGTAAAAGAGTGAACTATGTGATGAAGCTTATATGTTTTGTGTGTATGTGCATGTGTGTGTGTGTGCATGTGTGTGTGTGCGTGTGTGTGTAAAATGATGTATTACGTGGCAGGGTGGGCATCCAAAGAGCTTATGTGGGTGGGTTCCCTACTCTGCCCTATTCTGACATAGCTACTTCTGTCATTACATATAAGAATACTGGTTTTATTTCCAAAAAGTATATAGCTCAATACTGTCAAAATTCTCTTGAGTCAGTCAGATACTATCTTTCTAAGTGATTAAGCCTGATAATTAAATTCCCTTATGAAGATTACAATCATTTGGAAAGACATAAAACATCTAATCATAAAATCAGTGAGTTCAAAATGGCACTAGACCACAGAGGATTTTCTGGCATATTAGAAAAAAAGCTCTGAAATGAAGAACATATGATTATATTACAAATCTGCCAGTTTATGAGATATATAACCTTACACAAATCCCTCAACTTTCTTAGAGAATATGTTCTCCCACTTGGAAACTGAAAAAGTGATATATCTGAAAGTTTCCATGAAATACAAATAGGAGGATAAATGTAAACTTGAAAAACTGCATTTTACCCTCCATGAAAAATGTGATACTCTGAGATTCACCAGTTTAATGACTTTAAAATCAGGTAAATGTGAGATTAAATTTATTCCTCAAATGTTTTCATTATTGTGACCCTGAGTACTATGATCAATTAATTTTATTCTAAATAGAATTATATTAAATGATTCACAGAAGATATCTCAAATAACCAAAGTTATCTTAAGACAAAAAAGAAGAAAGAAAAAACAATAAAACAATGAAGTACTCCATACCCCAGCTTCAAACTATACTACAAAACTATACTGATCAAAAATACAGTAATCAAATTAGTATGGTATTGGATCATAACAGACCTACAAATCAATGGAACAGAATTTAAAGCACAGACCTAAATCCTCATACATATGAGTAATTAATCTTCTATTTAGTAATCAAAAGCACAAAGTGAAAAAATGACATGTTAATATGGTGTGGGGAACACAAGTGACAATCAAAATAATAAAATTAAATAATTATTGCACACCATGAACACAACTCAAAATGGATAAAAAACATTCATGTTATCTAACAGAATACATTAAGAAAACATAAGTGAGACACTTCATGATACTGTAGTTCCATTTTAATGACAAGAGAAAAAATGCAAAAAGAAACAAATGGAATTACTTCAAATTAATAATCTTCTGCACAGTGAAAGAAATAATCAGTAAAATAAAATACAATCTACTGAATGGGAGAAAATATTCATATATGACAAAAGGATAAGGAGCTCACACAACTCAATAGCCAGGAAACAAACAACCCTACCAAAAAAAAAAAAAATAAGGAAAGGAGCACATCACCAAAAAAGACTTGTGGATACCCAAAGCAGGCACAGGGAAAAACTGCTCAAGATCACTTAAGGAGAAAATGCACAGCAAACCGACAATTGAGATACAACATGTTAGAATGATCGTGAGAAAAAAATGAGATACTACATGTTAGAACGATCCATATCTAAAAGGCCAGGAACATATTGTTGAAACCTCATTCACTATTGCTAAGAATCAAAACAATATGGGAAATTCTAAAATTTTTAAGATAGATCTACCATATTATCTTGTAACTTCCATACACAGACATCAGTTCAAAGAAGACAAAACAGCATTTTGAATATATATGCATATCTATGTTCATCACAATACTATTTACAGTATAAAGCAATTCAAGTGCCCAACAACAAAAAGTAGAAAAAAGATTTGGAGTAAACAAACAATGGAATTATTATTTATGAAAATATGAAATCTTGGTATTCTGAAACAACAAAGACAAAAATGTCGAGTCATGCTGTTAAGTCAGAAAGAAAGAGACAAAATATACCACTAAATTGTTAAATATAACATACAGAAGCAAGTGATACAAGGGAACAAATTTAAAGGAAAACAAAGCATGGATTTGATTATAGACGTCAAGAGACAAGGAGAACAGAAAGAAAAGCAGAAGTAGGAGATGTTCTAATGAACCACAGTGAAGGAAACTGGTCCTACAGTGGTGAAGACATTATGGTATTGAACTTTGAAGAAGTGTGAAGCACACAAACCTCAAAAACATATATTGTCTTATTAAATAAAGGCTATCACAAAAAAATTAAAATAAGTGTTTAATGGTCAGAAATAGGATAGGGGTTCAAGCACTTATTTTTATCCAGTCAATCCCAGTTTGAGTCTTTAATACTACATGGTGATGGTCCTCTGCAATGGGTAAGTCTTGAGTACTGAGGCAGGACTAACCCATACACAGCTAAATGTGGCTCAAAAAACAAAACAAAACAAAATAGAAAACAAAAACCTTACCTGAGCTCTGTAGTGCTACAGCCCCTGCTGATGTTGATGCCACTTGTGTAACCAAAATTCCATAGCCAAACTTTTTATGCTTATTGATCTGACATAAAATAGGGAAAATAATGAAAAAGGAAATATTACATAAGATTATATTTACATACTATACATAGTTATTAAGTTTTATCAGAATATGAGATTCAAAATAACAAGAATAATAAAAACAGTCTCTAAACCATTAGCCATTAGTAAACAATAATGCAGTATTTTTCACAACCTTATTTCCAGCCATTAAAATAGCTCTTTGACAAGAAGCTATTTTGACCTTGAACAACTGATTTGCCTTTATTTCCTAATACATAAAATAAAGGCCGTTGACCAAATGAAAACTTAGAATCCTTCCAATTCCAAATTCTTATCATCATATTCCTTTAGTTGTATCCTCAACAATAACTTTCCTCATCAATAAGTCTGCATTAACTGACAGTTTTTAAACTGTTATTTAAAGTAATCAAACTACTTCAATGAGTTCTTTACAGTTCTTGGTTTATTTAGTTTTGTTTTCAGGTCATACCTGGTACTACTCCAGGAATGTCGGTTGGAGCTACAGAGCAGAGAATAGGGGAAAATGCAGTGCCAAGGAACAAACCTGAGACTCTAACTGTAAGCACCTGCACTCGCTCTTTAAGCTATCTCCCTGAGCAAGATCATCTTGAAAATGACAATTATTTTTAGCTATAACATAATCTGTTTTCATAAGGGAAGACACAGAGGTGTAGGATAGTGAAGAATTCATACAATTTCCCCAACAGCTCTGGGGCTAAAAAAAATAGTAAAGATATTAAGGTGCTTAACAACTCTTGCATACAGCCGACCAGAGTTTAATCCCTAGGACCACATATAATGCCCAAGCACTGCCAGGGATCTCTCCTGAGCACACAGATAGGAACAACCCTAAGCATCACACAGGTATGACACAAACACCCTCAAACACAGAAAGAAAAAGAAGATTCCATAGCTGTGAAGAAACCTTAAATAACGTTTAAATTAAGTATTGTATATGCAATCAAGGTAGAAATTTTAAGTACATGAACTCTTAGCAAAACAGAGTAAAGAAATAACGAAGACTTGCTACTATCACGTAACATATACAATGCTTTACTGCTAGGACTATGGAATTAGTATCATGGTCCAATTCCAGTCTGATCCCTGGCACTGCAGGGTCCCCTGAGCATCATCACAGAGTATAGCCCTGGAGATCCTGGAGCATCACCAAGAGTAACAGCAGTGGTCCACAGTATGATTGGTTCTGCAGACTCAGTCCTTCTATCCAGCAGTTGGGCCCAGTGAGCTGAGAATCACTGGGAGAGGTCCCCAGGCCCACTGAGCACTGCTTGCCATGTTTGCTTCCCCAAAAAAGGTTTAATTCTAAACAAAGATAACCAATTAAAATTTATATTTTCTCACCATTTCATTAAAACTATCAAACATTAAAACACAAAACAGTACATTCAGTTTTAAATGCTAAGGAAAGTAAAGATAAACTAAAAATACTAAGAGACATCTAGGTAAATTTCTCAATTTCCAGCTATTCGTATCTTTATAAATTTGCCTTTCCTTTCCCTTTTTATTACTCATATTTCCCATTTTCCTTAATTTAACATCCATTAGTTCTGCAGTTACATGGCTTAAGTGTAAAACAAGATAAATGTCCATCTTTTTGCCACTTGACTTTCTCCATAATAGCTTTTAAAAAAATACCTTACTCATTTATCACCCCATTGACCCTGCTGATTCAGATATTAGGAGCCATAGGGAATTCCCAGCTCACACTAAATCCCACAAAGGTTAACACACACAAACACAGACAGAAAAAAAACACTAAAATACAGAAGTTAGAGATGCATTACTAAAACTTAATTTTTATGGACACGGGACTAGAGAGTGTAGAGTGTTGAACAAAGCTGGCATAGGTTCAATCCCTTGACATCCCTTAAAGTCCCTTCAACCCCACAAGGAGTGATCCCTGAGTACAGAGTCAGGAGTAAACCCTTAGCACACCTGCATGTGAGCCATAAAAACAAAAAATTAAAATTAAAAACCATGGAAAACGTTAAAAACAAATCTGAGTTCTAGTCTACTGCTGTCAATAACTAGTGGGCATACACATTATTTAACCAGCTTGGGTTTCAAGTTTTATGTCAGCAAAATTAAGAAAATGGGCTCATAGCAATCTCATAATATAATTGACACACTCTAATTTTTTTTAAATATTTTCAATAGCACCATCAAACAGCAGCATTCAAGTATTATCAGTAGCTTATAGTCCAGTGAGGTACAGAAAACAGTATTTTCTATTATAACACATGCAGTGGCATTAACACTATATTGTTTTAAATTTATGAACATAAAAAAGTAACATCAGTTCAGAGTATATTATTTTAATAGTGAAAGATATGTCTGCATGTTCTTAAGCATGTCAGTGAGAAAGAAAAATATGTGAGCAGTTTAAGTGTCTTCAAATATGTGATAATAAAAATTAAAATCCAATAGGCTAATTAGTATATAATGAGATAATAAAATTCATCAGCAGAGAAAGTCAATTAAAATAAACACAATTTTGGGGCTGGAGCGATAGCACAGAGGGTAAGGCGGTTGCCTTACACGCAGCCAACATGGCCAACACAGGTTTGATTCCCAGCATCCCATATCCCCCAAGCACCGCCAGGAGCAATTCCTGAGTGCATGAGCCAGGAGTAACCCCTGAGCATCGCCGGGTGTGACCCAAAAAAGCAAAAAAATAAATAAATAAATAATTAAAAAAAAAAAAACACGATTTCTTGGGGCTGGAACAACAGTAAGCAAATAAGGCATTAGCCTTACATTGGGGCAACCTGGGTTCAATCCCCAGCATCCTATATGGTTCCCTGAGCCTGCCAGAATGATCCCTGTGTGCAAAGCCAGAAGTAGCCCTGAGCACCACTTGGTGTGGCCCAAAAATAAAAAGAAATTTCTTTTATATAAATGTAAAAAGCCTGAAAAAAGTTTAAACATTTGTCACACTGTGAATGCCACTGTCTCCACAAAATTCATGCTGAAATCCTAATTCCAAAACTTAATCGTGGCAAAAAGGTCTTTGTCAAGAGATTAGATCATCAATGTGGAAAGTCCCTATAAATGAAATGAATGTTACTAAAAAGACTGTAGCAGTCTCCATATTCACTTCTGCTAAATGAGGACATACTGAAAAGTGTAAAAACCAAAAGAGACTTCTAGATGGTGGCTCTGTAATCTTAAAACTTCCAGATTCCAGCACCATGTTCATTGTTTCTCTCAGTACAATAGCCAAGAAGCAACCCAAGTGTACAACAATAAATGAATGGATAAAGAAATGGTGGTGTATGTATACAATGGAGCTACAAGAAAAAAATAAAACTACACAATTCACAGCAACTCAGATGGAATTGGAGGGTGGGGTTATTGATACTGATGATATTGATAATATCAATCAATAACAAATCTTAGATACTAGAATACAGACCTAAGAGTGGCAGGTTTGTGTTGACAGGGTGAGGGAAATGAATAGGCTGATTGGAAGTAATATAGGGAGAGTGCTTGGAGCAAATGTTTGGTGCCAAAGAAAGTGACAGTATGCAACAAAACCATAATTGTCAATCAAAAACTAAAAGGGGGATGGGTGGGAAGACAAGATAGATTGGTTGGATCAGAGGATGGACATCGGGATGGAGGAATTAGACCACAGGCATTTTAGTTCAATACCTTCAGACAGCTATACTATAAACTTGAACACCACTGAAACTACATTACCTAAATTATAATAAGCAGTAAAAAAAATAATAAAAATGAATAAATGTCTATTGTGGCAAAACCTGAATGGAGTAACATAATAATCTACAAGAATATTTATATCCAAGAGTATTATTTTATATCAAATGCATTGGTACAAAAACCTGGAATAGAAAGATGCACACAAGGTAAAAGAAACTGCAAACAGAATTAGAATTGACAGGAATAAAAATAAGAAAAAATGACAGGAATAGATGAGAATACACCTATAGATGAGAACAGATAAGAAGGCAAAGCATGAACGGAGACATGTAAATGACTATATTCTATTATGCAAAAACAAATATGTCTGCATGTAAAAACATTTAATCAGAAATCCACAAACTAGTCTTCATGTTTTACTTGTGAAGAGTTGGTCAAGGGCCTTACTCATGAACTATTATTTATCTGTCACTGGGAAAATCAACATCTAACGTTATTTTTTCATGGTTTTCAACAAAATCTGGAAATTGCAGCTGACCAGAGTAAAGAAAAACAAACAAACTGATATTTATAACTGGCAACCTAATTTCATCAAAAAATAGCAGAGAACAAATATGAAGCAAACGTTTTTTGAATTCTAAACGTTTTTAGAATCCTAAAATATGCATAAATCTTGGAATATTTACTATGAGACAAAAAAATCTAAACAGACCTCAGTGAAACACAGACTAACTTAATTGTAAATTTCAGCTACTTGTACTATTACTAACAGTACTATTAAATTTCAGTTAGCAAAATCTCCCTACAAATATCTGTTTCCTATAAAAAGTGAAGCTTGAACTCTTAAACTGACACATATATTTATATCCACTAAGTTTTCCTCCTGGAATTTCACCCAATTTTAGTATATCCAAATGCTTGATATCATATTGATAAAACATCTGGATGACTACTGAATTTTTCAACTTCATCTGCTCATTAGCTCTCCTGTAAACATAGTCATAGATACCAACATCAACTCTGTAATGCTTCCCTGAAAAAATAACAAGTTAAATATCACAATGCTATATGGGTTTTTAATTGAGGCTTAATAACTTCTTCATGCATAGAAAAAACAGAATGATGTTCTTAATGGATTTTATAGCAATAAAAATTCCTCTTGCCTGTGGGAGATGGTAATTCATACCTGTAATTTTTTTGCATATTGGTTGAACATAAATGTCACACATTCATTGATGGCACCTGTTCTTTGAAGAAGCAGTAGTCCTTTGGGAGTAGCAGCAAAATTTAGTAAATCATCTAACAAATTCTCTTCCCAAGCCATACTGAAACAAGTAAAACATGAAATTACTGCATTCAAAAACTTTTTTACAAACCATTTCAGTTCAATGATGCTAAAAATTAAAATTACATACAGTATACATTAATTTCAAAGTAATCAGTAAATGTTCACAAAACTTGGATTAAAAACAAACTGGTGGTCACTGTAGGGAAGTGGAAAGTGGGTGAGAAAATGGGGCAAAAGAAGATGACTAATGATAGATTAAAAACCAGACTTCTGGTGGAATTTTAATATATATTGAAGACAAATTATGTTATGTTTTAATATATATTGAAGACAAACCATAATGGTATGTAAGTCAAATCTATTGCTATTAATCATGTTACTTCAATTTAACCACTGAATTTTGTCACCTAAATGATTTTAGGTACTCTACACCAGGATGTTTTCACTTGGGGCACCCCAGAGGGGGGTGGGTGAGAGCCCTCCCCACTCCAAGGGACCCAGCCCCGACACCGACCTCCACTACCCAACCGCTGCCACACTCCAAGCCTCTTTCCACATGTCAGGCCAAGCCTCACACATGAGTGAACATATTTCTGAACCGACACATCATAAAACACTTCCTACCCATTTTCCATAAGTGAAACCATGTTTGATGGGGCTCAGACAGTAGGCAACAAATTATATAAATATATATATATATATATATATACATATATATACATATATATGTGTATATATATATATATATATCTTGAAGAACCCGGCAAGCTACCGTGAGTATCCTGCCCGCACGGGCAGAGACTGGCAAGCTCCCTGTGGCATATTCAATATGACAAAAACAGTAATTAAAATAAAAATATAAAAAAATAAAGGACCTCATTCCCCTGACATTGAAAAAACCTTCAATCATTGTGAAAGATGAGTAAGGAGCACTTGCTAAAATTTCAGGGCTGGAACGAATAAAGACATTACTGGCGCCTGCTCGAGTAAATCAATGAACAATGGGAACAAGTAATACAGTGGTACAGTGATGTTTTTAATTAGATTCTAAATAAAACATAGTTTCTTTGGAATAGCATTCTTCTATTTTTAGATTTTCTGTCCCAATACTTTTCCTTCACTAACTGAATTAAATAGTAACTGAAATGTCAGCATTTCCTTAACACCTGTGTTCTCTCATCCATGCCTTAATTTCATTCTGGTTTCCTACATAATTCTGTGTTGCCTGGGCTTCCCAAGCCTGGACTCTGCATAATTTCTATACTTTCTTTCATTATAAAATATCAATCTAACTTTCTAGAGTATATCATATATTATCTTTTTATTTTCATTGTTTTTAATTTACTGTCCTCTTGAAAAATGACATTTTCTTACTCTGAACACCTCTTAAAGGGGTTTGTGCCTGAGTGCAATCCTTGGTGCCATATGTTCCCCCAACCATCTCCCAGTGTGGCCCTGAAGGACCCCAGGCATCACCTGGGTGGCTCCAGGGGTCTCAATCATCACAGGACCCGTGCAGAGGTGCTGACCAAGTGTTACCAGGAATGGCTATCAGGTCCCCTAAGCAACACCTGGGATGTACAAAAAAAATATCCTCCTAGGCATATGCACACACACCTTTTTTGGAAACTATTTTGCATCAAATTTTTACACTGTCATTTCTTAATTATTCAGCAAATGTAAAACACAAACTGATCAGTTGTACTTACATGTTTTGAGATTCCTGGCTTACTGAAGAAACAGAATCTGAACCTTCTACTGGAGTAGGAATTCTTTCTGATAGTAAACTTGTCTAAAAGAAGAGTATTTACAATTACTTAAATTAATATCTTACATTAGTCACCAAATCTCATTGTATTTAAACTTCAATGCAATTACCATGACATTACCTCAAAATTTAAATTTTACATCCTCAATACTATGTGCAATGCCTCATAAATAAGGCATATAGGGGCAAGAGAGAGAGTACAGAGTGTAGGGCGCTTGCCTTGCATACAGCAGACCCAGGTTTGAGCCCGCAACTACATATGGCCCCAGGAGTCTCGCCAGGAGTGATCCCTGAGAGCAGAACCAGGAGTTAAACATGAGTACCACTGTGGGTCTGGCTCAAAAACCAAAAAAAGTAAATATGGCATATAAATGAGAAAACAACATATATATTATTTTATATATATTATATATATTATTTTCAAATATATCTATATTAGACTACATATTTTCAGTGTCCATAACCAAAATCTAACTGTTTAAAATTGCTCAGAAATTATTTTCAAAGAGGGATGTCAAATTACACAAAAGCAGTCTCTCCTATCAAAACAAAAGATACTGTAGTACTCAGTTATCAAAAAAAAGCATTGTCTTCTAAAACATGGTGACAAGAAGAAGTCACTTTTGCCCCATTAAAATATTTTAACTGTAGTGATACCTATAAAAGTGATTATATTTGAAATAAGAATTTACAGGGAAGAAAAAAAATTAAAATGCTTACCTTTTTCCATGCCTTTGCTATAGACTCATGCAAGGCATAAGGAATTAACACCTGCAAACCTTCACATGTACCATATATTTGGCGACACACAGAAATAAAGGCTCCTTTAACCATAGGTAACATTTCTGAACCAGAAAAAATAGAAATATCTTCATCAAGAAGTTTCTTCGAGAACTGGGCGATTATATGGACACCTGTAGGACTAAAAGATAATTCCTAAAAGTGATTCCATGTTATAAATCGTGAATGCACTATCACAAGGGCTAGGTCACCACAAATTCTTCATTTGTGCCCTTTAAAATCCATTCCGCTATTGTTTGTTGTTTACATGTTTTCCAGAATAATTTATTCATTAAAATCTACTAAATATGGTATCAAGGTGACCTGTGTGGATTGTGTTGATAGACACTAATAGGATTTTACAAGTCTGTCAGTTAATAAGCCCAGTAACTCATGTCATCATGTGGCTTTATTTCTACACATATCGTTGAAACAGATTACTTTTCAAGAAATCTCAGTTTGGACAAGCCATAGATACAGCAAGATCTGTATAAACAGGTAAATAGATACTTTCTTTTTCTTGAGTTAAAAGTCTCAGCTTCAGCAAAATTAAGAACATAGGACAGAGCTGGGAAGACAGGACAGTGGTTTAGTCTCTTGGCTTGCACGCAGCCAACCAGGAACTGATCTCTAGCACCGCACATGAACTCCTGTGCACTGCCAAGAACAAAGCCAGTAGTCTGAATTCAGCATAAAGTCAGGAGTAAGACATGAGTGGCAGTCCAACTGTGTGGTCCAAATCCCTCCGCTCCAACAGTAGGTGAGTCAAAGAATGCACAATGAATCACATATATGAACCAGCGTTTTTTCTATGATTTGAAGGTTTCTGAATGAATGGGCTCAAATCTGGTATCAGTCACGATCCTCCCATTCATCAATTTGCTAGTGCGGGCCCAGTAACATTGTGAGACTTGTTACTGTGTTTGGCATACTTAATACGTCACGTGTAGCTTGCCAGGCTTTGCTGTGCAGGCGAGATACTCTCGGTAGCTTGCCAGGCTCTCCAAGAGGGGCGGAGGAATCGAACTCTGTTTGGCCATTTTGGCTGCGAGTAAGGCAAACGCCCTACCGGCTGTGCTATCGCTCCAGCCCCAAGTCTGATATAACTGTTAAAAAGACTGCTTAAAGAATAGACTAAGGAAACTACAAAATGTCACTAACTTTAATCATTAATAGCTTAAATAAAAATACATTACTAGTTGCTATTCAAAATCAAAAACCTGGTCTGAATCTCCAAGAAGGCAGGATGTACATATTACCAAGCCACCTTGTTTTGCCCTTTTCATCTAACTTTTCTCTGGCATTTACCACTGCTCCCCTTCAGGTGTAATAAGCCTTAATAATAGAGGTGGTCTGAGTTGGACCATACAGTGAAGAATATGCAGAGAGAAATATTTAACAGATTTATATATTTAAAACATAGACACTGGGGGTGATGTGTTGCAGATCCATAGGCTAGCCATCCATAGGCAGATCCATATTCTACAGTGAAAATATTACATTGAGTTCAAAATCCCTACTACTTTTTTTTTACAGAAGTGGTTCCATTACCAAGATCTGGTTCCTTAAAGATTAGGGCAGTTTAACAGTGATAAATTAGAAATAATTAATAATAATAGAAAATGAGGAAAATCATATTTCTAATGAGCCAGGTATTGTTCTAAATATTTAAATTAATTCATTTAATCCTCACTATAATTCTATGAAGTAGTTCTATTATTCTTCAGTTGTTTGCAAAAAATATACTTAAGGATTACAAGACAAGCAATGTAAACTGTATCACACAGTTAGTAACAAGTAGAATCACATTTAATTTGTCTTTCCTGGAAATAAAAACAATAAGAAGAACAGTAGTAACATGACTGATCATTGAATCTCCACATACCTCTCATCAATCTTCAAAAGTTATGGAGAGTTCACCAATATTCTTTTATCTGTTTCCCAATGAACCTCCTACAATCCCATGCCCAGTGATCACATTATTATACCCAGATTTCACATTATTATATCCACAGTTCATCTCTAGAATATCTCTATTTTCTTACGGTAAGTAAAGGAATCCCACATTAACTTACTTATTTATTCCTATTTTTTTTGTTTTTGTTGTTGTTGTTAGTTGTTGCAGAACTAACAACTAAGCTTGGGGCTCTCGAGGGATATTTTTTAGAGGTGCTCAAACTTGGTCTCACTCACACATTCAAGGCATTTGTTCTACCACTCGAAACACATCACTGGTCTCTAAAAGATTTCTATTTTACTGTTATGTTTTAGAATCACACCTGGTAGTGCTCAGTGGTTACTCCTGGCTCAGTGCCCAGTGGATTGCTCTTGGCAATATTTAGAGAACATGCAGTATAAGGGATTCAACCCAGGCTTCATACATGGAAAGTATTCACTCTAATCCATTGAACTGACTCACCAGTTGTGATTTCAATTTTAAATGTCAAAATGCCACCTAAAAATTATTTCCACTTAATTAGATTATGTTCACATAAGAATTTATATCCTTTCAAGAGAATTGCTTATCTTTAAGTATGTTCAAATAATATGTGTTTAGTTTGGCTTTGCTTTTTTGTTTTGGTTTGGTGCCACACCCAGCAATGCTCAGAAGTCACTTCTGGCTCTGCTCTCAGAAATCACTCCTGGTGGTGGCTGCTCAGGTAGACTATTTGGGATGCTGGGAACCAAACCTAGGCTGACCACATGCAAAGCAAGCACCCTACCTGCTGTAGTATCTAAGCTTCAGAATTTATAATACTGGTAGTAATAAGTTTTATACATATAATGTTCCAACTACATCCTCACTGCTAGGGTATCAGCATCTCTCCACCAATACATGCTTCCCTTTGACCATCGTACTCCATCTTCTTGTCAACTCCAACCTGTGGGCTAACCCTCAGGGTCCATTACCACTGACCATTTTGTTACTCCTTTACTATTACTTTATATTTCACATATGAGACTTTTCATTCTGTATTTCCCTCTAACCAAATCCATTCAGCATGATACCCTCTAATTCCATTCATGTAGCTGTGAACTGCATGTTTCATCTTTTATTTTAGCTGAGTATTATTCCAGGGCTGGAGCAATAGCACAGCGGTAGGGCGTTTGCCTTGCACGCAGCCAACATGGCCAACCGGAGTTCGATTCCTCTGCCCCTCTCGGAGAACCTGGCAAGCTACCAAGAGTATCTCGCCTGCACAGCAGAGCCTGGCAAGCTCCCCGTGACGTATTCGATATGCCAAACACAGTAACAACAAAAGTCTCCAATGGAGATGTTACTGGGCCCGCTCGAGCAAATCGATGAACAATGGGAGGACAGTGACAGTGACAGTGACAGAGTATTATTCCATTGTATACCTATATAGAAAGCAGCATGTGCAATAAAGAAATATAGTTTCTTTATTCCCTCTTATGTTCTTAGGTACCTGGTTTCTTCCCAAATCTTGGCTACTGTGAATAGTACTGCAACAACTGCAAGAGAGCAAATGCCTTAGAAAATATCTTATGGTTCTTGGGTAGATGTCTAGAAGTATAATCACTGGGTAATAATGAATGCCGAGTTCTTAATATTTTTAGAAGTCCCATATTATTTCCAATAGAGTCTGAATCAGCTGACATTCCCAACAGTGGACAAGGTTCCTTCCCCTCACCCCATTCCCGATAGTACTGACTGCTTCTACTCTTTTTGATCTGTACCAGTCTCACTGGGGTGAGGTGATATTTATTTCAGACCCCCTTTTATTTTGTCCATTGATTTTTGACATTGAGTTTTTTGAAAAACAATTAGTTTTCTAGCCCACTCTTAACTGGATGACAGCTTCACCATGGTGTCATTTAATGTGTTCTGGTTTCCTGTAAAGTGATAATTAGACCTAGGGATTTCAATCTAGCAGCCTAATTTCTTTCATTTATTTTATTTTCTTGGCAAAATAAGTTTTTAAGTGGATGCTACTGTATATTTCCCATTGCATATCCTGAGGCACATACCCAAGTGTCACAACTTTCAGGGATACTGAAAAATCTGCCAGTCATGTGGAAATAAGGCCTCTCAATACAGCTTCACCTAGTGGTTTTAATTTCAATTTACGATCCTTCAAAAGTCTATTGTTTTATGAGGAGTTATCAGGCAGGGACTTTCTATTACGTTTTGTATTTATTCACAAAATTTTTCTATGAAGAACTACACTTCTATAACTTAATGATTACAAAAAAAAGCAGTAAGTATAATTTATATAGAAACTCTGAAGCCATGGTAAAAATATTTAAACTTGGGTGTAAATATGTAAACTCAGTGGGTTCTAGCATTCTCGATGGGCAGTTGGCAAGGGTCTTTTTTTTTTTGGTGTGAGGGCCTTAGTTTTAAAATTTTATATTTTATATACTATATGTACTTTAGTCCAGTCAATTATTTTCCTGACCCTAAAACTGCCCATCATAAACCAGTAAATAGGAAATTCCTTCTGCTTACCATTGAGGCACTTTTAGCACTATCCCACAGACATCCTTTGTTTTTAGTTTGGTAAGATATCCCAGGATCGTACTGCACATATTACTGGCCCAATTCAGAATATGTCTTCAAAGATTCCTTACTTTCATAGAACAAGTATATTTACAGATCACAATTTGAAGAACTCATTGTGAAAGGATCAACATGACTTTTAAGCCTTTTCAATGGTAGCACTATAAAAAGTAAATTTCTGAAGAAGTTCATTATGAATTTAAAATTCATGTTTAACTACTTTACATATATACTTTACTTTTTTGAAAACTCCTATGCTAAAAAGCCTAAATTATTTATAACATAACTATTTGCTCTTAGAACAGCTGCATAATCATTTCAAGATATCCTAAGAAGCACTCCTCATGGAACATCCAGCATTCCAAAGAGGTATACAAAATGTCTTTCTTCACTTTATGTAACTCTATCTTCTCTCCCGTATTTCCTAAGCAAAGTTGTTTAGTACATAAATAAATACAAATAATACATAGTTTGTATACATATATGCTGAATGAGGTTAAAAATTAATTTTTTAAATCTTTCCAACCTTAGAACACATCCTATTAGAAATGTTCAAAATTAAGTAATTTGAGGAATTCTTTTCTTTGCATAGATATATCACCAATTTGATATTTATATTC